TTTGGGTCCTGGGAGATGGACTGTATCTCATGATGTCACTGCTTAGTGAAGGGGTAAAAAATGTAAAAATATCACAATTCTTTGTGGAAAACTATGTTTAATACATGGCTGAGTTTGTTGGGAACAGGAGACCAAAGTATTTCTCACTTCTTCTCTAACATGCTTTGTTCTTTTAATTATAAAGGGGTTTGTTTGGAGATTGATCACAGCTCCCCACTACATTAGCATCAGTACAGTCTGAATCCAAACCATACAATCTGTAAGTCAGTGGCAAGGCTTTACACCTGATCAAGTCAAGAATTAATGAAAATTAGAACACTGCCAGGATTGCCTTTCTTGGCCATGTCTAAGGACAAAACTCTGTTTCCCAAATAAGCATCTGTGTTTTTGGCTGGACAGACCAAATTGCTAATTATACAATCACAAATTGGGGAACGTCCATGGGAGGGAGTGAAGGTGGAAAAACATACTGGTGTTGTAGAATGACCACTGGAAGAAAGAAAAAGTGACTGCTGAATTATACATTTTTTCGGACAAATGACTTTTCAGATGTTTCCAGTCTCACACTTCACTGAAACACCTTCCAAACTCTTGCTTCTCCTCTGTCCCCACCTCTGCTACCACTAATAATTTGCAGTTCTACCTGTACTTCCTAGAGGCCTGACACCATCTCCAAATCTTTTTCTTAATATCTTACATCTCACACACACATATATGGTGACTTTAAGAGCTGAAGTTAAGAATGGGATTCCAGTCAATGTGGTATTATGCTTTCTGGAGCAACTTTAAGGCTATTTTTTTGCCACACAGCAATGATCCATTTTTTGACTCAGTTAAATTAGAGGAGAAAAAGAGTGAGGAAGTCAAAAACAAACTAGTTTATTGGCAATGATTCACCAACTATGGAGAATAGCACCATACTGCAGTGAGACAACATACAGGCTGTTTTTTCGGTACTTGGCTGTTCTTCAGTCTTTGGAAAACTGTTCTCTCCTTATGTTTAGAAGAAAGCATGCTAGCATCTCCAAGCCCTAATGAATCGCAGAGTTAGGAAAAACGTAGAAATGAATGTGAAACAAGCCTTTCTGTCACCATAGTTGTTCCTCAACTTCTTATACAAGAGATATCTTGAAGATTTTTAGCCTGGAGAAGGACACTGCATAGATGTCAACCACATGGAAAAATGGTTATTGACTGCCTAGAGAGTAGGTAGGATTATTTGGTGACCTTCGCTGCCAAATTTTAGTATGATTAAGGATCAGAAAACTAGTTCTCTTGTGGGGTAAAACTGGCTATTTTCATACCTGACATCCAGCTGGCTTGGAAGATGGAGATATGTTAAATAGAGAGTTAACAGGAATTTCCACCCAAAACACTCAACTATCTGGTGATAAGGGAAAGAGAAAGGGGAAGGGGAAGGGGAAGGGGATGGGGAAAGGGAAGGGAAGGGAAGGGAAGGGAAGGGAAGGGAAGGGAAGGGAAGGGAAGGGAAGGGAAGGGAAGGGAAGGGAAAACATAGCTTTTACTAGACATCCATGTTCCAGAATATGTATTTTCTCACTGGGGACAATAAATATTGCAAGAACCTGTAATCTCTTAATAAAGGTTGCCCTCCTCTGCCTTGCCTATCTACCTTGGTGGAGTATTTTATATATTCTTGTGACAAATGAAGATGCACTCTCCGAAAGTTAGTAGCATTTCAAAGCATAGGAAGGATCAATATGAGATTTGTAAAAGTGGGAAGAAATATCCCTGATGAAACTTTATAGCCCAAAAGAGAGAGATTTAGTATTGGAGCACTATGAAGGGATGCTAATTCTGGACTTACCCATCTAACTGAGGCTCTAAATTTTGAGCGTAGCCACCTTTGGGATACATAAGCATCTCCAGAGGGTACTGCAGCCTATCCCAGGGTCTCTTTTCACTGCTTCTAAAGGGAGCTGAAAGTTATTGTGCTTATTTAGACGCTTGAAGTAAGACGAGGCAAATCCAGGCTGTGCAGTGAATCCAACTTACCTATGAAGCAAATGATCTCTAAAAACATCCTGTAGATTGAAGAATTGCTGAGTCTGTATTCTGATTGTGCAGGACTAGAGGATCCTGGCACAGGCTTTACAGCACTTAGCATTGCTGCTGATCATGTCAGAAACATCTCAGCAGAGACATAAAGAAAGAAAAGGCGAAGGACGGTGTAATCACAGCTGTCTGATGTTTTCCTACCTGCTGCTGTCAGAAGTGTCAGTTTTCACTGCATGCTTCTGCGTTTTACTAACTGCCCGTATGCCACGCATTACAAAGCTGTTCCAGTATGGCAACATTCCCCATAGGGTTCTTTTTTTCTGCTTTGTTATTTCTTTATCTAGTGTGACAGCAAGCTGGCTACTATGGAGTTAGAAACACTAGAGAGGATTGTAGTAATCATGCCTGCTTTTTGCTAAAATCTTTTTTTTTAGTAAACACCTAGCATGATCTTACAACCAAACATTATTTTCAGTTTCAATCAGCTGCACCACAAAATGTCTCTGTGTGTTCCTCCCTTCTTCCTTTAGGGTTAAAGTCCCGCAGGGATGTCAGTACAAACAACATAAAAACAGCCTTTGCAACTACACAACCACCTCTGCACTCTGCATTGTTTCATAGAATCACAGAATCATTAAGGTTGGAAAAGACCACTGAGATCATCTAGTCCAACCATCAATCCATCACCACCACGCTGTGTTTGTAAGCCTCTCCCTCAAATACACCTCTCATCTATTCTCTCAGATACAGCACCCAAGCAGCTGCTCCGAAGATAAGAAGAGGAATTTATGCTAGCACCATCCCAACAGGTTTCCCTCAGGTCTTCTTTTGGGCAAAATTTCCCTTTGCTCTCTCACACAAGCATTTTCTCTTCAAAGAAATCTCTCACCATCCCTCTCTCACTTAATCTTTTTCATTCTGTTATACTCAATACACATCTTTTCCTCACAGGGTAGCATTTTCTCATACACAATCAAATTTAACTCTCTGGGTATCTGCCATAGGGTCTTTCATTCACGTCTAAAAGCTCTGTGAAGAAATCATACAATCACAGAATGCCTTGAATTGGAAGGGACTTCAAAGATCATCTAGTTCCTACCTCCCTGCCATGAGACCATTGCCAACTACAAGATCAAGCACTAGATCAGGCCTCCCAGGGCCCCATCCAGCCTAACCCTGAAAAAAGAAGGGAAAAAAAAAGGAGGCTCCACCGTTGCCTGCCATGAACTCAGTGACATTTTCCCATGAAATAAAAAGACCCAGCCCAGAGAATACTCACTATAGCCTACTGTACTGGTGTTATTCCTGGGGGGGGGAGAGATGACTTCAGGTTGCAAACCAACCAGGCAGAAGCTGTAATCACAAAATTGAAAATTCAAACAAAATATTTTCAAAAGTGATTTCAATTGGGGCATGGAGTAATTTCCTCAGGGAGCTGGTAGAGGCTTTCTTACTGGAAGTGCTTGGAAAAAAAGTGTTTTTAACACTTAGGAAAAGGTGAGAGGAATTCTACCATCTGAATGGCATTAAGGTGATGGTAGTAATCTCTCACACCACTAAGCTCCATCGAGCTATTTTAATCTTACAAAAACTTTCGCAGGAAAAATCTATTTCCACTCCAGGGTCTTCAAGGCCTTCCAACATAGATTTTAGCAATCTTATTAGTTTAGCCAAAAAGCTAGAGATGTGATTTGCAAGGCTTTGGTTTGCTGTTTCGAATAGCCAGTTAACCAATTTCAGGTGATTTCAAGCTGAAAGGGGAAGTGTGACTCCGATAGATGTATCAGCTCTATATTGTAAATCACATAGAAGTAATAAAGCTTTAATAATGTCATTTGTGTCTCATAGTCTGTCCAAAAAGAACCTCTTTGCCACTTAAGGGCTGTACCATGGGAATGGTGGTACAGAAGTGTTACAGTGAGGTGAAGAGGTCTTTCTAAATCCCAGCATAGTTAGTAGAGAAATCAGTACAGTGAATCTTCTAAATACTCAATTTCTTACACATTTCCTGTAATGTCACCATAGTGGGCTTCCTTGCTCTGCTTGTATCAACCAAAAAACCTAACATGTTCACTTTGGTAAGTCTTTATTTACTTTTGTGCAAGTCCCTACAATTGCTAGCTATGATAAGCAGGGATTTGGCATTAGCTATAATTCACTGGAACTAAGGTTACAGAACAGCAGTGTCTTAATTTATTTCCTAAATGTCATTTGAAACTCTTAAAATAGACATTTCCATTGTCAGCAGCATACAACGTTGAGGGAAACCTGACTTTTATTGTGAAACTATCAATGTTTGCCATTTCTGCATGTACAGATTACCTCTCATCGTCGTATGTTTTATTCATATTCTTTCCATGGCAGAGTAAAGAAAAGCCGGTCCACTGTCCACAGCAAATGACAAAATTTAGAATCAGTAATACAAAGAAGAAGCCAATTAAACTCCCTTATTACATTTTACTAAGCTGCTCCAGACCAATTATAGCCATATTTCTTTGTAGTTTAATTAGGTTCCACTCAGCTTCACAGAACGGTAGCCTGTGGTGAATGAAAGCCTGAGAAACATGGTTCAGGTGCCATGTGTGGGATCATTAATGTGCTCTGGGCTGCTGCTTTGGAAGAGGCTGCACCTAATTACTTGGGTTAACACACTAATACCAAATGGATGAATTGCAACCATTTTCAGTGTCTTGTGGACCCTACAAAACTGTAGATTAATAAGTTGTTAGGGAGTGATGAGATGACCTGCCCTACTGTTCTTCAATTTTTCTCTGTATGTTCTTAGAAGCATGAAGTACTGAAGTGGAGAACTGCATCAACCACTGCCATTTCCATTCCTCTTTCTCTGAGGAATGATAAATTATCACCGAAGAAATTATCAGAGCTGATGATCAAAATAGACCATCTTTTATTTCCTATAACTTAAATTGGCTTTGGATCAAAATATACCATATTCAAGAGATAAGAGGTGCTTTGTTACCACAAAACAACACAGAGAACAGATTGAACTCCTTCCAGTTAGTAAATGTCTGAAAATCAGGTATATAGTTTAAAACTACTGTTTAGGATCTCTCTATAACTGACTGTAAGAATAAGTCAGGGAGATAAAGCAAGTGATGCAACTCCAAAAGGAAAAGGACAAGCTGGCTGATCCTGTTCACACCATGTTCATGTACTAGAGAGTATGTAACAGAAGTCTGAAAAATCAGGATGGGATTCTGCGATTCTGTATGGGATGGCAAGAGTGTATTAAGACAGATTGGTAACCACATTTTTTGATGGAAGGGAGAAATAGAATCATAGAATCAAAGAATGGCTTGGGTTCGAAGGGACCTCAAGGACTGTGAATCTCCAACTCCTCTGCCACATGCAGGGCCACCAACCTCCACATTTAATACTAGACCAGGCTGCCCAGACCAACCTCCACATTTAATACTAGACCAGACTGCCCAGAGCCCTATCCAATCTGGTCTTGAACAAATCCAGGGATGGGGCATCCATAACTTCTCTGGGCAGCCTTTTACAGCACCTCACTACTCTCATAGTAAAGAATTATGAGAAAAACACATTACATGATAGCAGTAGGAGCACAAGTTTAAACTGAAAAAGGAGAGAGTTTTGTTCGTGTTTTAGTTTTCATAGTAAGTAGCAGATCTGTGAAATTCCTTTCTCCTACACAGGATACATTACCCATCAGGAAATCAAAGAATCATGGAATCATTAAGGTTGGAAAAGACCATTAAAATCATTTAGTCTAACCATCAACTCATCAAATTCCCATCACAGAGAAATTAAGAATAAAGACTGAGTGACTATTAGGGAGAAATTATCATAGGTACACTTTCCATTCTTTAGGTGCCTATTTATGTCCACTGTTGGAAACTGAATGCCAGGTGATACAGAACCTTGAGGTGAATTTGTAGAATGGTTTTTATGTCCAGCACTGTGTGGGTTAAGACATATAAAGCTCCTCAGGACTTCCTTCTGGCTAGCTTAAGCAATCATATTCCCAGGACAACTGATTTATGCATCCTATAAAAATGCATTGCCAAAAGGTCAAAAATTTGTTGAATGATTAATGGTAGGTACAGCTGTTCCAGCTGTGACACCTCTACAGACCTGTCTTTGGGGAAGAGCTCACCTTTCTAAAGACTTCAGATCTGAGAAATTTTACTGGCTTCTGAATGGCTTATCTAGGTGACAGTAACCAACATGCCATACAAGACTCTTTTATCTTGCTCACACTTGCCCATAAGACAAAAACTGTTTCCTATTCCTCTTCTAAATAAGAGGACTTGACAACTTAATAATTGAATTTGGTGTTTAGCTTGCTCTGTTTCTGCTATGCCTGCTTTTAATTTCTTTCATTAAGATTTTTAAGTTTTTTTCCTCTGTTGCCAGCTTACAGAGCCCATGAAAAACAGCTTTGTTAGGATTTTTCCGTTTTCACACTAACCCCCTCTCCAGGGTTTGTCAGGGGGATATGTCCAAACTGAAGCTCCTGCTTCTGGGAGGTGTTGAGTTTGGTGTTTGTTTGTATGTTCTTTTAAAAAAAAAGAATAAAACTGTGCCCGTGTGCCCACAATATTTTCATATAAAGGGGCACCAACATGAACAGCATAAACAGCTGTTTAACAGCTTTGTTGGATATATTTGCTATGAGGTAGGAGAAGGCAAATGTGCTTGTGATGTGGGAAGAGAAACATACATTCTTCAAGAACATACTGTTTTATAGCAACATAATGGAATATATATATTAAACTAGCATCTGCTATTAAAATAAAGTCTATAATATGTTATGTTACGATGTGGATTCTTCATGCTTTTTCTAAGCCAGAAAGCATCTATAGTTTCAGCAGAGAAATACTTTACCTGAGTCATTTGTGCCAAATGCATCAGCTGTGTTAGCTGGCTCGTTGTAAGCTCCACCAGTTTCTGCACTGCATCATACTAATGAGGTAATCACCGAGCCTCTAATGAATGGGATTAGTGAATGGGCAGGGATTTTCATTTGGAATCTCTTGTTCAAATGCAACTTGAGGCTCCCAAAATATTTGCTTGCAATCAGCTTTGAGCTAGGTTCACTTCAGCTCTTAGTGACTAGATGAAAATCATTTTCATCACTAGAGAATTTGCCAGTTTTGCTGATAGTGGCAGCCCACAGGTTGTGCTGGAAATAAACAGGGAGCTCCACTTCAACAGCAAACACTCTGTGCGAAGGTAGAGCAGCAGGTAACATTTGTAATTTCAGAACAATACTCAACTTGCTTGGAAAAAAAAAACGAAAAAACTATCATCCTATTACTATGCTTTTCATAATAACAAGTGTTTGGACTAGATGACCTTTCAGGTCCCTTTCAACTGGAACAATAATATTATAATGATCCAGTTATGTTGACTTTGCTGGATAGATGAAAAGAGTACAAACAAGCAAACAAAACCCAGCAAGGACAACAACCCCAAAACTCTGACTTCTGTTTCCCTCCCAAACCTAATTAAGCTTTGCACTTCTGACCCTGAATGAGCTTAAGTACCTGCAAGATTTTGCTGAGCATTTTCAACGCTTAACCTTTACTATTTTAGCTTTTTAGTAAGGAAGCATGTAATTTAAATCTGTGCAGGTAAGAATATACCTTATTATTTGTTATTCTTTTCTAAACCTTCATAGTAATCAAACCCACATTTCATTGAGAGCTAGCTTATTTTATTATAATGTATTTTGCTGTACTGTATTTTATGGTGAGACACTGCTTTGGTAAAAGATGTGACTTTTCATGAAGAATAAAAAACCATATCATTTTGTGAAAATCTCTTCAATACTTCCTATGACATTTTAATTAAAACCACTTTTGAAATGCTTTATTTACTGGAGGAGAACTGCATTTATAATACATGACACATTTAAAGATGAATTTAAATGGCATTTTCAATCATGTTTTCAGCAGAATATATTGTGCGTGAAAATGGAACAAAATCCCAAATGGTGAATGTGTTGAAACCTATGAGATCAAATCAAATACAGAATTTTATATTTTTCATGAAATGCATTGCTTGACTTTTTTAACACATTACAGATCATTTTCAAAGAAGAGATCACAGTATGTCTTAATGTTTGTCTTGCTCTTTCACTAGTGTTTCTTATAAATAAATAAATATGTTCTATGCTTACAGTGGTATCAAGTAAGTATACAGTCATAGAATCCAATAAGTATCTTGCTGATTGTTTGTAATTTACTCATGTAATTTTGAAATAATTTAGCTCATATTTGCCAGAGCAAATTATAAAGCAGCAGTGCACAGAAATGAGAATCTGAGCTGGATTCTATTTAAAATATACAAAAATAATCACAGAAGAGTCAAACAAAGCACATTGACTTTCATAGTTTCTAATGAGCAGAGCTAGAAGTCAGGAGAATGTTAAAAACACAAACAATAAAAATAAATTCTCAGCTATGTATGTTACAACGCACAGAACATCAGATCTGGAGGCAAAAAAATAACATTCTCCAGATACAAAGGTGGCACAATTAAAATCCAAAACGCTCGGTAAAACATGTTTTCAACTAGGGGTTAAAAAAAAAAATAGCAGGAAAACTTATTCACAATTATACTGATACATGGCATTAAACTTAGCTTTTCTTCCATACAATTAGTGTTTGTTGGTTATAGCAGTTTCAACACACCGTGATCAGCAAAGCAGACACTGACATAGGGAATGAATGTGAAATGCCTTGAGAATCCATTCCACTTCACGGGGTGATCACAGACTCTGCAAAAGCAAGAATAACTGATAAGTATTTGTGGGATTCCCAGAGATTTGCACATGTAAAGTTGTTTCTAATGGAAGGGTGACTGCTCAAGGCGATCCCAAAATGCGCAGTTGAGAGTGAAGTAGACACAGTCTCAGAAAGACACATTTTCACTGATTCTAGTCTCAAATAATTTTGCAACAGGTGGACAAGATGAATGTAGAGACAAATCAGATTTATAAAGAAAACAGTATACTGTAACGTAGCACATAAATGAGTGGATTTTGTGTTCTCTTCAACACCAGTCTTTCCTATACCGTGAGGAAAGTGAGTTTAGTTTTGGAAATACATTTTCCTCTAATATACACAAAGAAGCTGAAGTGTGACATTGATGTATTTCACTGAAGAGAATGTATCTCAGAAATATTTGTCTGTTTTCCATTTCTCTTCACAAAGAAGCCAGTAGGTCCCTTCATTTGATGGGATGAACTACCATATCATGTGTAGATGTCTGCGGAATAAAAAGTTTACATCAACTAATATAAACAGCTAATGTAAGCTAATGTAAATGAAGAGGTTTTTTTTATATTACTATTTTTTAAGTGCATGTTTTTCTGTAATTGGTTTAACAGAAGCCTCCTGGGATGAGTACTCAAAGAGTACTATAGGCCTTCAACTACTATAGATTTCTGAGGTTAGGCAAATTGTATTTTTGCATTCACTGCCCTATAAGCCAGCTCTGGCTGTCTGTAATAAACATCACTGTTAAAAGTAGAAACAAACCTTTGTAGTGACTGTGTTTATTCTGCTTGCAATTCTTTGCTCATACATACGCTTTGCGAGAAAATCTGGCTACTTGGTATCAAAGAAAAGGGAAGAGATGGAAAAATTGTCCGTTAATATTATCAAACCCATAACTGACAGCAACTTTCCTGTTGATGCTGAAAGCTTTAGAAGCATCCTGTTTAAATTACGCTTTATTGCAAATCAAGACAATGTCAAAAAAGAACAGAGATCAGACCCCTCCACCCAACATGCGCATATTATTTATGCCAATTATTAAAATCGTTCACAGTGAAATATTATTTAAATAATATTTTGAAATGAAACATCTTTTGTGTGCTGTGCTACATATAATACGAAGCATAGAAGATATTGCCTTGTATTCACATAAACACTACAAAGAGCTACCAGAAACACTCTTTAATAACAAAGGGTATTCTGAAGATGACATTCATCTCAGTTCATCTCAGCTAAATTAAGGTGTGAAAGTCTTCCCCTGAGAATAATGCCCCCTATATAATTACAGGGCTCCTATTATACTAATTACAGATCTAATCAATACAGCCAGTAGATTTTCAGGGTGAGGGTCACTTGAATAAAAACATCAACTTCAGAATGACTTAGATTTCACTGGCTGCTATTGACATGCATTATCTACAGAGGGATACTCAGGATGATGCAGAAACATACTCTGGGGACACATAAATGTTGCTATATATTTTCACTAATAGAAATTCTTCTAATATCCAAAACATATTTGCTAGAGTTTGATGTGTTGAAAGGCTCTGAAAAGGTGACAGTGAATGGTAATCATATAAACTTTCCATCCACTTCGGAACCATTCTGACTTTCCTGTTCACTCTTAACATTTAAAAATCTTTCTCTGAAGAGGAAGGGCTGAAGGTAAAGTGGAAAGAAAATAAACAGAAAAAGAGAAAAGAGATTAGTAAAAAGAGCAAAGAAGTAGAGAGGAGGGAAGGGAAGGGAAACAGGAAGGGGAAGGGGAAGGCAGAAAAGATGAGAGGAGATTTGTATTATATCAAATTTGTATTTGAAGCTGAATTATTAATATAATATTAATATATATAAACATCTTAATATAATATTTATCTTAACGTTATATAAATATTAAGACAGGGATCTCCTAGAAGGAGTCTAGGAAAGGGCCAAAAAGAGGAGAGGAGAGGAGAGGAGAGGAGAGGAGAGGAGAGGAGAGGAGAGGAGAGGAGAGGAGAGGAGAGGAGAGGAGAGGAGAGGAGAGGAGAGGAGAGGAGAGGAGAGGAGAGGAGAGGAGAGGAGAGGAGAGGAGAGGAGAGGTATGTTCACATGTCTCTTTTGTCTTGGGAGCACAGCATTGGATACATTTCAGATGTTTCTTGCCAGTGCTGAGTAGAGGTAAAGATTCTTGAGTTAAAGACTCCTTATTGCACTCTACAACTTCCTCCTCATTGCACTCTACAACTTTCTCCTCATTGCACTCTACAACTTCCTGAAGGGAGGTTGTGGTGCAAAAGGGTCTGGCCTCTTCTCCCAGGCAAATAGTAGGACCTGAGGAAACGGCCAGAAGTTATACCAGAGGAGGTTTAGGTTGGATATTAGGAGAAACTTTTTCTCTCAAAGGGTGGTCAGGTACTGGAATGGCTGCCCAGGGAGGTGGTGGAGTCGCCGTCCCTGGCAGTGTTCAAGAGGCGCCTGGATGAGGAGCTACAAGAGATGGTTTAGTGCTTGTGGTACCAATAGGAATGGGAGGCTGGTTGGACTGGATGGTCTTGCAGGTCGTTTCCAACCTTGCGATTCTGTGATTCTGTGTGATTCTGTGAGTAGAGGGAAGGCCCATGAGCTCCCTTAGCCACATGCTGCCATTACAGAAATATCAACTAGTCAGATTTCTTAGTGCTGTCCTCAGTCATTCAAGCCAAGCAGTCAACAACTGTGTTGTGGCAATCAATAAGTAAATGGCTGATTCAAGTCAGTTGCTCACAAAGGCATTCCTCCTTACGAGGAATGTATGGGTGTGAATACAAACATAAATGTACGGGAAGGATAGAGGAGTGTGAGTTTATGTGTGTGCATAAACGTTCTTGTATATGGGAGAGAAAGAACGCAGCCTAATCAAATCCTGCAGACTTTGGACAAGCTTTGTCTCTGAAGACTCAGATAAAGAGCACCATATGTTTGATATGAAAGCAAACTTGACTACCAGCACAAGCCATTACTCTTGGCAGGCTCTGAATCTACTGGGAATTATGAATCTTGATTTGCAGTCAGGGAAAATATTCAACATCACTAAAAACATTTAAATTAGAAACGGATAAACTACAGACTTGGCTCTTGAGTGTAACAAGAGGATCTCCAGACACAAACTAGCTACAAGATATGCTGGGCCGTGAACCAACAAACTTAATGTATGTTTCTGGTTCAGCAAAGATAAAAATGAGTTATTTTCACTTATTGAAAAAGATTCTGAATTCTGTCACATGCTTATATTTTGAATGAAGTGTTTTCTTTATGAGTTGCTACAGTAATAATAAGTAACGCTGAGTCTAGGAGTTCTAGTCATGGACCATGCAGTCTTGTGTTAGTCTGTGCAGCTGAACTAAATTACAAACTCCAGCAAAAAAAATAAATATATATATATATTAAAAATAACAGCGGGGCAGATCTTTGGAAACTTTGCAAGTAGAATCTTAAGTGACTTCAGGCTTCGCCTGTCCACGTCAGTGAATCACTGCTATGATGATCATAGCCAGTGAAAGGACATCTAACCTGGTTCTTCTCACGCATAAAAGAAGAAGGCAGAAAATTAAAGATAAATGAGAAAAGATTCCGCTGCCACCATCAAATTGATAAAATTATCCTACCATGCAGGCTTACCAATCATTTTACTGGGAACCACAGTTATCAGGCAGGTGAGCTACTTTTGTCACCGAGAGACTTTAAGCTGCAGTAGGGACCTGAGCTATGGATCCATCCTACAGCCCTCTTTGGCTTCAGAAACATCTTTTACTCCTTTACAGATTGCTGCATAGACTTTGCTTATTTACTTACTCTAGCTCATTCTGCCTGTGAATTAAACAGCTAGTCTCATGGGAAGATAAATCTTCCACAATGAAAAAACAACTTGATCCTATCTTCTGTTGTTTTGAAACAAGTGACATCTCTTTCTTTGCTCTAATAAAATGTGATTATACAGATCAGACTACATAAATAAATTATGATGGTATAGCTCTTAACTTTTTCAAATTTATACAGCCATTAAGACTTTTTCATAGACATTAACCTCAATGGACTTCCCTGTTTGAGAACATTCGTTCAGATAAATTAACTCCATTGTTAATAGCAGCAGACCACAGACAACATCTCATTTGTGATCAAGAACCTAAACTCATCTGCAAGGCTGAAAGTGGTCATACCAATTTGGACATGAGGATCTCAGTTTTCTGCTTCTGAAAACCCTCAAGAGAATGCTGAAAGAAGAGCAGAAAACTTTGTTTACATTTTTTCTGCCTCTAGTCTCCAGTAATATCAGAGAATAAAGACACGTATACAGAGCATATTAATTCCAAGAGCTATAGAAAATTCTTAGATTTACCAGACATAGCTGATATGCTTTGCTCAGAATTCAACAGATCACAACCTTTGACATACATATCAAATTTAGCCCTTTCAGATAATATTCCTCTGCAATTGTGTGCAGTTCATGCCATAAAAATAAGTCTCTTCCTCCTTGATTGTGCTTCAGGACTTATATCTTCCCTTCTGATCACCTTCCTCTATCTGCACCTGACATCATTATATTACTATACACATTAATGATCAATTACACCCTTTTGGGATAGAAAAAAAAGTATAAACAAAAGACAGAAGTTACAAAACGACTTCTAAGAGAAACCACAGTGCATCTTGCATCTTCCAATCTAAAACTGATCAGACACCAGATGAGTCTTGGAACAGCACTACTGACATTGTGAATCTCCCAGGCTTATGCTTTTACCTGGGCCTTTGTGCAAAGGTACTGTGAAATGATGAGATTTTGCCTTCAGTAATCTTTTTCCATCAGCTAAAGTCATCACTTTTTAAACAGTCCTTCCCACTAATTTTGTAAGGAAATGATACCCACTTTTCGTTACAGAAATATTAGACATTTTTCTAGTGTACAATGCTCGCAGCAGAAAAAGCTGCTGTTCTATTCACTTACACTGGTCATTTCTCCTTATACTGTAATTTAACAACAGCT